TAATCTAAATGTACTCAAGGGCTCACTAGGACTATCCCTCCAAAGCATTCGTTGCCAATTTGTATCTTCTGGGTGGACACGAATTTGTCTGAACATCTTCTCTACATCGACACATACTGCAATTTTTGTGAGTTCTAAACCGTAGAAGAATTGGAAACAGCTCTTGCTGAACTCTTGGCCCAACCATCAAAATATCATTCAATGAAAGACCCGATGTCGTTTTAGCTGAAGCATCGAAAACAACTCTCAGTTTAGTCGTAGTACTTGATTCCTTTAATACGGCATGATGAGGCATGTAATACGTAGAGTCAATAAGAATCTCTCCCTCAGGCACTCCCTCCATATGTCTCAGCTCAAGGTATTCCCTCATGAAATCCTTATAGTGTTCATATATCTGAGGCCTTTTTAGAAGTGAATTTTCTAAAGATTGGAATCTACGCATAGCTAATTGTCTGGAATCTCCAAGCTGAGAAGGGGGAGAGTGAAACGGTAATTTCACAGTATATACCCCACTTTCCTCTCTCGTATATGTAGATTTGAAATAATCTTCACATGCTCTCTCCGATTTAGTAAGTATGTGTCAAACGTAGGTACAAGCATCCAATTTCCAAAAGTCTCAGACAGCATCTGATCAGTTTCCACTTGTATATTATTAACATAGATAGTAGGATTAATTTCTGTTGAATTATTCACACTACCTGAAATAATCCATCCTACTTCAGAACAAGAAGCTACCGGTTTACCTTCTTCGCATTAATTATTTCTCCCTTTAAAAGAGGTAAGGCAATATCTACGCCTAAAAGTATATCAAACAGGCCCACTTTTGTAAAATGTTGGATCTGCTAACATTAAATCATTATATTCCTCAACGTACTTCTTATCCAATGTAAAATGCGGCAAAGTTCCAATAATTCTATGATGATGATAAATACTGGGTGTTTTAAATGACACTTTCGCCGGAAAAATGCGGAACGAAGTTTATTTCCGTAATCCCCATTAGTTTTCGTATCCAAAGACCCTAAACATGAAATAAAAACTTTGGCATTTCTTCTCTGCTAACCCTAGCCTTTGTACACAATCTTCAGAAATCAGGCTTGCTGCTTGACTGCCAGGGTCAAGGAGGGCTCTACACAATTGGTATTCATCCGATGAATCTAACACTTTAATAACAGCCGTACATAATAAAACTTCACTCTGAAAATTAAAGTCTGAAACACAAAGATTTAATTACTGGACTAGAACTTGCGATATTCTTCCCTGACCCAGCCGATTGAGCGCGAGTTTCTGGCCCAGGGAAAAATGGCTTAGCCGTCACTGATAATTCATTAGAACTGTTCTTCGAAACTTCCTTTAAGTGCCTTTGGTTCATTTTGAACTCTTTCGAAATGCAGTAGTGTGTGATGATTTTTAAAGCACTTTTTACATTTATGTGTACTTCTACACTCGAAAGCTTTATGGTTTGAAACCAAACAATTAAAACAAACATTATTTCTCTTGACAAAATTAACGCGTTCCTGCACATTCAGATTTAAAAACTTATTACATTTAAAAACTGAATGACCGGCTTTACAATACGTACACTGCGCGCGAATCTCTAAAGCCAATGAAGTTAATTTGTCTTTTGTAACTTGTTTTTTAACACCTTGCGTTTTACCTGCTTGCAAGGTTCTGGCATGAGATTTCAAGAACTCTAGCAGATTATTAAGTGTTGGTATTTCCTCACTCTTTAATGTTCTTTCCCACCATCCTCTCGTCGAAGAATCCAATTTAAACTGTACTATTAACATTAAAATAGCATCCGCGAATTGCTCCACTTTGAATCCTAGATTTTCAAACGAACATACACACTCTCTTACAGTGTCTACTAATGCTAATATCTGACTAGGAATTTCAGATTGTAAATTTGATAAATACAAGATTTTCTTTAATAACGATGAAAGTAATTCTCTCTTATGTGAAAATCTTTGACACAATAAATGCCACGCTATTTCGAAATTCCTGTCACAAATAGTTAAAGCTTGAACAATCCGCAAAGCATCTCCCTTTTAAAGAACCCTTTAAATATTGTAGCTTTTGTGCACCTGATAAACGGTCATTATCTACTATCGCCGTTTTAAATAAATCAAAAAATGATAACCATTCTTCAGTACTGCCACTAAATACAGGAAGAGTTAGCTTACGTAAGCGTATACTCGCTATTTCACAAGATTTAGTTTCCACACTAATGTCTTTAACATTCTTAACTCTGTTTAGCATTAAAATTAACTCATCAGCAGTATCTTGTACGACCTGTTGTTCTTCTATAAATACATCAATATCTTTTTTCTTCACACACTACAAATATGTTACGAAAAATATCCGAAAGTTCGGTCATTAAGTCATTTAATCTAGATTTAAAAAGTTCTAACTGATCAACATCGGCAGAATCGTAAGTCACGGTAAATTTCTCTTTCAGTTTACTTAACTTAGCTTTAGCTACACGCTTTTTAGTCTTAAGCGTTGTAAATTCCATTATCTAATAAGAAAGATAAAAAAACACACTGACTCACCAAATTTACTGTGACTCCGTAGCCGATGGACCATAAAATCTTGTACGTTCCGTTGTTTAAAAATAGTGGACTGTAAATTAACTTGATATTACTTCAGTATAGAACTCAAAAAACCTCAGACTCCTAACGTTGACCGAAACTTCTTTATTGACTTTCAAATAGTAAGTTAGGCGAAGAGGAACGGCGAAGACCACACAAACTCCGACTTCAGTGGTGGCTTACCAACACAAACTCAGAAGAACCTCTGCTTAGTTGAAACTCCAGTAATTCACAGCAACCTCGAAGCTCTAACCGCGAGCTTTAAAAACCTAACAAATTTGCGTCTGCGCCGCTCCTCGGTACAAAGAAAGAAATACAATTTGCATAACATCGAACAGTCACTGTGAGTAGCAACCATATTTAAAACAAGCTCTTCAAGAATGCTTACAGGTTTTGTAATAGCTGCTCTATGGCACCGATAAAAATCTATTTGTGTAAACTATGGGTGTTTCACAGTAATACACTCTTTAGGTGGCAATACATGGATTATTTTTTTTAATTGAAATAGAAATTGTAAAGCTAACTAGTAATGAAACATAAGACCTATTTGGTCTCAAAAATTTTTTTACGCATAATGCTGCAAAAAGGTACGAAATAATAGTAGGTAGAAACATTGCAGCGATCTTGCTAAAAAGTTGCCAGGAGCTGTAGCTCCACAAAATAGTTCAACGCTGTATGACTAAAATATGAACTAAGAAGAATTTTTTAAAAAAAATTATCTGGAAAAAACTGGGAAAAAAACTGTAAACATGCAAAAAAAAAAAAAAAAAAAAAAATTAAAATTAATGTTGGAAGACATGCGAATGCACGAAAAAATATCTGAACGTTGTGATATGTGAAAAGTTAATACATATAAAAAATAAAAAATAGATTGATGGAAAAAATATATATATGAAAAGTTAATACACATTAAAAAAAAAGTTTGACGGAAAAAATATATACCAAAACATAAAATGCAAAAATTATAATGAAAACATAAATTGCAAAAATACAATAATTACAAAGCAGAAAATGGTAAATTAACCCATTTGTACCCTCTGCCAGGCTTTTCAAGGGAAAAATAACCGAGTGTCGAACTAGGCTAAATACCATTACGTGTTTCGCCGAAACAGACCATTGAAGCTCTTGTATGATGTGAAAAAATTTTTTAATAAAAACATGAATAGTCCCGAATAAATCTTTTTGGAGCTTCACTGCTCTGTTCCTTTTTCCCGACGCGTCCGCTGAAAAACACATTAGGGTGTAAAGAATGTAATTGCAACTCCGAGCAATGTAAAATTAAAATCAAAATAAAATAAATAGCGGTCTGCTATTAGTCAAAAAATTACATCAACGTACGGGCTGGTCCTGCACAGCTTAAAGAAGATAGAACTTTTATAAAGAGAATGGTGCTGTAATCAAATTAATATGCTATTAAATTAGCAAGAAAACAAACGTCGTTGGGTCTTATTAGGACCAAAAAAACACAGACAAAAGAATGAAAATTTTTTTTTAAATATCCTTCCTATTCTTTTATCATATCATTTACAAAATTCTTGATAACTTTTATGATGATTTGTTATAGCTGCCAGCTGGTCTGAGTAGAACTTTAATAATGGAAATCCTGTAAATACATCTCCAACATCTAGTGAATCAGTTACCTAAGAGTTAGTTACTTCAGAAGTTAAAGCAGTTCTAAGAGCTACCTACATGAATTAAAAACTGCATTTTAAAGTTTACTCTGTGGCTAATATTGATAATCTGAATTAGTTTTTGCATGTTAAGAAGAAATAGTCTTACCTTCGGTGTACTGTTATTTACAGTTATTTTGCTATTTGAGGTTTACTGCGATAAACTGTCGATTTCTGGCTGCTCAGGTGGTATAATTATTGAAAAGATCTCAACAAATCAGAAGTGCAACACAATATGCTATATTTATTTTGAAAATTTGGTTTTAAAAACAATTTAACAATGAAGAATCAAATTATTATACTACACATTAGTTTACTCTTACTATTAATTACAATATAATACAGAATAATGTTTTTACAAACCAAAGTTCTTTTCTAAGTTGTTAGACAATAATAATTTTTGCATCTTATATATAATTCAAAATTAGCTAAAGTAAGCTTTATAGATTTGTTTAAAAAATGAGCTAAAACTTACTGGTGACACTATATATAACCTACATTATAAAATTTAAATTAAATTCCAAAAATACACATGACTTTAATGCAATTTATTAAATAACGTAATTAAGAGTAATCTTTTTCTAATAATGAATCAAGAAATGTTAATTCATTTTCATATCAAATAGTATTTCAAAATACATTTTTCATACATTAAAAAAAAACAGTAAAAAATATATTTATTTATAAAACATTTTTAATTTGTAGATTCTTGTAAATAATATTAGTTTAAAAATTAACTTACTTATAGACATTTTCCTTTATTTTCAAATCAGAAAGTTTATCTGAACACTTTTTTATTTCTTCTTTTAAGATATCAGATAAATTATTGGTCACACGCTTTTCTGTATATACTTTTTCAATTTCACTTTCATCAATTTTGTGGTGAAAAAGTATTTCTTCTCCTGCACTGCCCCTGAAAATAACAAATTGCATGACAGCTCTAAGAATATCTATTTAAAACATTTAAGCTGTATAAAAAAAAAGCACAGTAAAACAGGTAAGTGAAAAATAAATAAATAAACATTAATTGCAAAAATTAATGAGATAAATTTAAAAATATTTTAAAATAAAAACCACTTTTATTATGATTTTACATTACTGACAATCAACTAGAAAAAAGTTCATTTTTTAGTTAATAATGTAAAATCTATCTAGACTCTAATGGCTTTGGATTTTTATTCTGTTAACACTAATGTAAAATTTAATGAATTATGTTTTAAAAATATAAAGTATGCTGGTAGAATATATGCTAACAAAATTGCTTTCAAAAGGGACAAGAGTAAGGTGATGATTCTAACATTCTAATTTATAAAAGAGGTTACAAAATTTTTTAAAAAAAGTTTGAGAAACACTGTTTTAGATAACACCTGAAAATTTGATACTAAAAGCTCTTGGCCAAAAATAGTATTTAAATTTTCTAGTCAGTAAAAAATTATCTTAAAACTGGGAATTTTAGACAGCAGCTAAAAATAATTAATGAAAGAATTCATTTTAAAGTGTTTAAATCTCTGTCCACTTCAGTAAATTTTTGGGCATGGACAGATATTTATAAATTCATTTTTTTTGCATGGCACATGGAAAAGGTGACATGATTTTCTACAGAAAATTTGCTCCCCTATTGACAGTAACCTAAAACAGCCAGCCTGTTAAGCTACCAAAATCACATCTTGCAGCAACTAACAGCAGAGTTTTTATCTCTTAGCCACTCATTGACAAAAAATAGAATAAAAAAAGCATGAATTGAAATTACAAATCTTTAAATGAAAAGTATGCTTAAACACATTCAAGTTCTTGCTTCATACTTTTATTGAGTTTTTATTTAAATGCTTACAGATGGAAAAACATTTTTATAACATCAATATTTTATTTATTTATTTATTTATTTTTGTTCCAAATTTGTTTTGCTATATGTTTATACAATGATTATGAAACAAATCCACAAATATGAATATTTTTAGACTAAAAGTTTTTAAGCTGTATTTATTCACATGGTTACAAAAGGAGAATGAATGATATGAATTATAAAAAATAAATAACTGTAGTATGGCAGGATTACAACTGACGATTTCTCAGGGCAAATTCGTTTAAGTAACAAAAGTATTAAAATATCTTTATAGCTATCTCTATTCTATACTATTATACAAAACTGCTATCTATATTATAATAAAAATTGAAAAAAAATCAGCACTCTGAACTATCACTTTCTTTCTTTATCATATTTAGAAAGATATTCACTTCTGAGACGTATGCTTATTTCACAGATACACATTAACTAAATTTTACATGAAATTATTCATGATAAATAAAAAAATAATTTAAATTAAACTAATGTCACATCCAAGAAATCATTTTCTAAAAAAATAATTAAGAGCATTAATAATAAATAAAAAATCACATTTTCTTTGTTTATAATTATTTCATATTTTACTATTAGTGCAGAACATATGTTTCAAAAAATTTTATTTCTTTAATAAATAAACTACACATTTTTATTAGGGCCCAATTTAATGCTTATTATTCATAAATTATATAAAATTTTAACTACAAATTTAATTGCTCCTTTTTTACCAAAAAAAAAAAAAAAAAAAAGAGCAATTACAAAATTTTTATTTTGAAGATAACCAATATGTTTACAACTTTATTAGTTTTAGCATACACCTTACATCTATTGTTTAAACTCCCCTGCATATATTGCCATTTTGGCAACTTATTCTAAGATGATTGTGCTAATAGTATAAGTACCAAAATAACTCTCATAATTTATGCACTTTTTAAAAAATTTGAAGTGAAACTGAAGTGTTTTTTAAACCTATTTAAGAAGAAGTGCTATGATATGCATCGTAAAAAAGTTTAAAGACTAAAGTTTTCACTAAAGATAGTAAAGCTATTTATATATCATCATAGCAGTATTCACAAATTCATGTAACATTTTTTTTTAATATTAAATTATGAAATATAAAAGGATATGCACCAATTTTAAGTTCATATTAAAGTTAAAAAATCAAGGGTATAAATTATGTTAATGAATACAGTGTCAGTTTAGATTGCTCTGTTTGTGTCCTCATCTTTACTTTACGAACACTTTTATGACATTTCAGATCTCCTTAAAACAATCTGGAAGAATGAAATTTGAAAGTTACAAAGCCAAAGGAAAGTAATTACATAAAACAAACTGTTACTCTCATTCTAGGAATCCATATTATTTCCTAATACTTTTTAATACTATTTTGCATAATAATACTCTACGAACTTTATTAACAATGCACTAGTCTCCTTTTTTTGAATGATGTTATCAATTGTTGATTCTACTCCTTAGCAATTGTCAAGCAGTGTACCTTTTAATTAAGAAAGTATATATTTATTGTTTTTAAGCTGCACAACTTGTCTGGTAGATACAGATTAGTTAAATTTAGAAAATTAATTAAAAACCTTATGATTAGCTAAAGGGCTATAGTCTAATAACAGCTATTTGAGAGACTACAAAAAGATTTGCCAAGTATTGTCAAAAGCTGTTGAATCATTCTGCTAGTTTTTAACGGCATTTTAAAGTTTTTGATTAAATGTTGTAAATCAAAACAGCATGGAATGAATTTGGTAATGAACAGACAACTGAAATATTATAATAAAATTTTTTTCCTCTTCACACATATATTTATAATTTTTTTAATATTTGTCATTTTTGTGTGTATTTTTGTATATTTTTCATACAAAATTCTCATTTAGATTTGCCAAGAAAGGCCTTTCTCTTCTGTAAAGGAAAAAGAGAGAGAGAGATAAAATTTCTTTTCAAAATACATTGATTTCCAAAAGTTATGCAACAAATTGAAAAATCACGATAAATCAGTTAAAATAGTTCAAAATTCTTGAAATATGAATATGTCACAAACAAAAGGAAGTTGCATCGAGTAGCATTATGCATGAGCGTCTATATAAATATGATACACCTTAAAATCAGCTGTTTAGGAGGGAATCGCTGTTCAATGGATGGCAATACATTAGACAATTTTAAAACAGCAAAAATGTAAAAATGAGTTCGAGATAACATCTGGCAGCAAAATTGCATTACAGAGCCATAGGTCGATTAGAAGCAGGTAAAGAACAGTCTGGCATTGCAAAATGGCTAAATGACTGTTCCATGGTTAGCAGTTGTGAAACATATTTCTAACTACTGGTTCAGCCTCTTGAAGACCTACAAAAGACAGGTCAACATCTAGAAAAGACCATATTTGTAACTAAGTGCACATCACAATAGGACTGCAGCTCCATCTCAGCTTAGATTAACGTTTATTTCTATTATAGGAAGGACAGTATCAGCCACAACAGTACACAGAAGGCTGCATGAAAGAGATCTATATGTCACACGAGCTGCACCGTACGTCCGGCTTACCTCCCCAGCTTGAATTGGACATGTAGTCATGTAAGCTGAACTAAAAACTCAATAAAGGTCTGTCACTGATGAGTCCCACTTTGCTTTACAAAATGATTCTTAAATTTTTATACATGGAGAAGCAAATACTTGATATCTTCTATTCAGCATACAGGAAAGGGATATCTATGCAGGAAGTAGTGTTCAGGTAGGGTGTAGAGACAGCATATTGGATCTTACTGTTCGCTCGTACGCTGTCGCAACCGGCAATACCTTCATTTTGAAAGCAGATGATACCCTCTCTAATACTGCTCTCCTTGTAAGAAAACATCCTGCTCTCCTTGAAGATGAAACTCTAGTCCAAAAGGAACAGCCAACATGCTTTCCCCACTTTTGTTCCATTCAGCATGTCAGATGCACTCGAGAGGCATGTTGCTGGCTTCCAACTCCTTTCCCGAATCCTTGATAGGATCAGAACTATTTTACTTGATCAATGGGCATTGCTACCCATGCAAACAAGTCTCATTTAACATTATAATCAACATGAGACATCACTGTCAGGCCTATATTACTGTTCGGTGTGATCATACTCATTACTGAGAAGTTTCTTTGTATTTAATTTGTTTGTCTGTTTCAAAAGATTTTATGTTCCTGTTGATACCATAAAATGTAAACATTCTGCATAACATTTGCTTATGCTTTTAAGTTACAAGAAGTATAATAAATATTTTCACCAAGTTTGTCCATTTTGCTTGCATACTTGAGTTATCATCAGATTTCCATTTATTGCTCAACTTTTGGAAACCAGTTATGTTTCAGTGATAAGACAAATTAAGAAGTCAACTCACTTATTGTCACAGTCAGAAAGAAGATTAACTACAATAGTTTCTTCTTTCCGCATATACAAAGGCACAGGTGACAGCTGAGCTTTCACGAAATTTGAAGCTTTGTAACATGCATTACTACAAAAACACTGAAAGAGAACATTACATGTTATTTGTGCACATAAATTTTAAATATGCAAAGTACTACTATTTTATACGAGCTTTGCGGTCAAATTTGAAATATTTTGCATACTTCTTAACACTTCTCATAATTATTTTCCCTTTTTATTATTATTATTATTATTTCATTATGTATGTAAGATAAAAATATGTGAATCAAAATTATAATTTAAACTAACGGTAAAACTTTAATTCTCCCTCTCTGTTCTAAAAATTGTTATAACTTCTCTGGATTGCATCATTTCTAGATCATTCTATTCTGCATGGTCTGTGTAGCGCTGATGATGGAATAATTGAAAACTGAAACTTTTGACTCAAACCAAAACATTTTTCTTCATGTGCTTCCCTATAGGATAGCTACGCACTTCAGCTTCGCTCTCTACCCTGCCAAGCTGTAATTTCTCTGTGCTCGCTTTCGCAAAAGTATTAAAAAAGTAAATGTTCTTGAATAGGCACGACTAAAGTGTCAAGTGAATTGTGGTCACAAACATCAACTGGAAAAAAAAATGGAATTAAAACTGCCTCGACTGCCAAGTTTCTTAGATATTACGATCTCAGCATATCAGCATACGGTGCATTCAAAATTCTTACTCTCCAATATGGATATACATACGCATCAATACTGCTCCGTCTTTTCCTTCCTATTATTATATTACATGTATATATTTTTTGGGGGGGGAGATAAAGACCAACATTACATAATTTACCAGAACAATTCTCAATTTTTTAATTTAGCTAAAAAAAAAAAAAGGCATAGCGGTAAGCTGATTTTTAAAAGTACTGAATCTTCATGAAATAGCAATTTTAACAGTGGCATAAATTAATTACAAAGTTCCAATTTAGAAAATATGTTCTATATTTGTAGAGGGTTTTTACTAAATATATATTCAATAACATCAAAGCTGATGCTTCATAAATACTGATGGAAGAAAAGTTAAACTAAAAGAACTTTCTAAACATAAGTACAATCACAATAATAAAAGCATTGGGCTTCAGTTTCCCCCCCCAAACAGAGGCAAAATAAGAATTACAAACAGATATTTGATGAAAAAAGAATGTTAAATGCAAACACATCAAATCATCTAGTACACTGAAATTACATGCTAGAAAGCTATTACAGTCAAAAGTCGTTAATCCGGACTCGTCGGGACTTCGGCGATTCCGGATTATCGATTTTTCCGGATTATAGATCATCAGTTTAAATCTCGCAAGATGGCATGCAGAAATTCTAAAATTAAAAATATGAAACCGTAATTTATGAAATAAAGAACAATTATGATCTAAAGGGTATCAAAATTTGCAAAAAGAAAAAGCTTAATATTTATTTGTTTACTTTATTAAACATTTCTTTCAATGTAAGTTGTTTAAGTTTTGCTTCGTTTCATGTGATAATACTTTCTCTTTAATTCTATTAAAAAGACATAATTTTGTGTTCAGTTACAAAGTTCCGCTGTTCAAGTCCTATAATTGCTGTGTCAAGAACACCGACTAATTTGTCAATCAAAATTTTTTTGTTTTCAATAACCTCTGTCACTTTTCTTCGCTATTGGAAGCGAATTATAATGACGAGGAACTTGTTTTAAATCATATCAAAGACGGAGCATATCGAGATGAAATACTACATTTTGGTAAGGAATTATAAGCCAAATAAAATAAAAACATCTGCGCTGAAGATAAGGATAGTGCTGACAAATCAACTTCCAATTCATTATGCGCCGCATTCCCCGCCGCCGAGCAACGTGAAATTGATAAACAGATTTCGGATTTCAAAACATACTTTCGCTTTAGATCCTTTACATATTAACAAATATATATCGGAAATTCTATTTGATATAATCGAAAGTTTAAGCTTACTTTTATATAATTGCTCTTACAGTCTGCAAAAAATAATAAGCCGGATGCAATTCGAAAATTAAGGAACAACGCAATCATCAACATTAACTGAAATAGATAATTATTTAGCTTATACGTCCATTATACATAAAATGCGCACGCGAAAACGTATTCTGCACTTGCACACACTCATATGCGCAGTCGTAAAAGGTCTTACTTGCACACGTGAACGCCTCTGCGCATGTTCAACGTGGCGCATGCGCAGAAAGTTTTTAGTTTTGATGTCCGGATTATAGATCATTCCGAATTAACGACTTTTGACTGTATTACTAAATACAAGGTCCAAGATCCAAAACCATTGGATCTCTGGCAATATTGGAAGATTCTGGATTTTAGACCACTAACTCAAATCTAGTAGGATAACATATTAAAAATTATAAAATTAAAAGTATGAAATAACTATTTGTCAAATAATCAAACATTTTTATTTCCTTAAAATAACCAAAATTGACAAACACACTTCAATATTAAGAGTTTATTTTATTTAAAAATTTCTTCCAACATAAAACTTTAAGCAATTATGCTTCCCTGATTGGTGTAGTGGTTTGTGATGCTATGTCACTGGACCTGAATTTGAATTCCAGAGAAGACTTGGATGTTTGTACGTATATAGTGTCTCTGCAGAATAGACACACTTAAAATACAAGCACAAGCTATTAGAATTTTAATATCTTAATTTTTGCCACTTCATTCCTTTTTTTTTTTTTTCCTCAACAGATGGGGCTACTTTTGTGTTCACTTTACTCTGCTAAGTTTGTTCAACATTATTTCTGTTCTTAAAGAAAAAGGACCTCTGTCCAACTGTCTTTGAAATTAATAGAATTTTAATCAAACTCTATGCCACAATAAGGTTGCTGTTTTGCCTAATTATGAGTTTTACACTGGTATGTTTTTCTTTCAATTTGATTTCATAGGAAGTTGACACTGGCACAAACTTTAAAAATTATTACCAATTTTTAATGATCAAAGTATGAATTTTTATCTAAAAAGAAAACTTAAAGCAAATATTCAATACAGAATCAACGCACAATTTACACGGGTCTATGGCTTGAAAAAAGTAAAAAAGATTGACAAATTCCTGTCACAGATATCAGCATTTGAATACTCATTTAATTTATGAAATTAAATGAATTTATTCTACAAATTAAACTTAAATTGCTAATTGTATTTTTCTGTTAAATACAATGTAAATTAATCTCATTTTCTACATTTTTAACTGCTTTGAGATTAACAGTCTGCATCATTTTCAATATTAATATTCCAATATTAACCTGATAAATTCTGAGTTGACTGCATGCAAAATATCTTACACATTCAAAAATCATGTTTGGAAAAGAATGGAAATCTTAAAAAGTTACAGTTTTCATTTTTAGATACTAAAATATGCAGTGTTTTAAAATATAACAAAAGAAATGTGTGAAAACAATTTTTTAATCATTGAAAACCTAGGATAGGTTATTAAACATTTAAAAATGAAAGAAAAAAAAAAAAAAAAAGAAGAAGAAGAAGAAGAAGAAAATTATCAGCTATATCTTAGTAGTAATTTTTACCAACATACCTTTCTTTCTGTCAAGTCATATACTTTATTTGAAAATCTAGATATGTGATACTTTTGTTTAGGCACCTAAATAAAAATAAATATATAGAGAATCAATGTTAAAATTGTCAATAATATAATTTCCCCATAAAGTTCCACATAATTTTAATGGAAGTAATTAACAATCAGCATTATTTTATATTCAATTGATTACATCTCCAGGTAGATAACAGGTGAGAAAAAACTAGAACCATGCCATCCCCCCAGTCCTCCACCATGTTCATTTTAAAAAGTAATTGAGTACTATTGTATTTGTTGACATATAAGATGCATTCTTTATCCAAAAAACTACTGTCATAAATAATGTATTTCTTGTGCACTGTTTAAACAATGGGCCATACTCTAGAACAGATTATTAACAAGAATGGTTTTTTCCATTCTCACCACAGTGGTCTGATGGATGAAAATTATTTAAAGTAGTATGAAAATTAGTATGAAACGCCGGCAATCTGCAGAATGCCTAGGCATTTTATATAATGCCGGATGATTTTAGGCAAAGTATAAAATAAGAAAATTATTACATACATTACCTAGGCATTGTATGTAATACCTAGGCATTCTATAGAATGACAAATTATCTTTAGGCAAAGTATAAAAAAAAAAGGTTATGATAAGGCTATTGTTTAAAAGACGTTTACTCCTCTAAAATACAAATGTTATTTTGAAAAATTAATAAGAGTGCCATTAAAAAACTGATCTTCAAAATATGTAAAAAAAAAAAAGATAGTGAGCTAATCTTGATACAGCGTAATAAATTTGTATTTTCTATCTGGCCGAGACTGGGAATCAGTAAGATCTACCTCACAATGGAAGTTAAATTCAGAAACAATCATAAGTTTCAAATCAGTGCCCTTTTTAATGCATTTTCGTTTTTTCTGGCAGGGCTCACAATGGTGCTTGTTACAGTTCAATATCGTTATGTGCAATGTTTTTGTAATTAGTTCAAAGTTCTTTCGACATTCCGTCACTTCGTTCCTGTGCAGTACTCAAATGAGTTTTCATAAAATATGGAAAATAACTCAGCATCCATGATGAAATTCTGCATAGTACTGACGCTTTCTTTAATAGGATAAAAGAATGTATTTTTGTTTTCCACAAACATCATAATTTGCCCATGTTAGTAGTCCCGTGATTCCTTCTTAGTAGTCATTTTGGCCTTTTTACATCATTTACGAATTTCTGGCAAGTAGTTTCAGTTCTTCGAAGCAAATTGGAAATGTATTTTATACTTTGCCGGTTCGTCATTTGGCATTCTATAGAAGGCCTAGGAAATGTGTGAAATATGAATCATTTCATACATTGCTGACTAGTTTTGGGCATTATATACAATGCCTAGGCATTCTATAGAATGCCGGATTTCATACATTGCTGGTATCATATATATGTATATCTTTTCCCCCATCAGTGTATTTATATATAAATTGTGAGTAAAAAAAGTGTGGTCTAGGCAACCATGGAGTATTTAAGTGTTTAAAAACTTTTCTATTATATTATATGGGCTTAATTTTGATAAAATATGGTATGCTATTGATGGCAAGAAAACTAAAGCTCTTATACAGAATTTCTCCTGAAATGTCACTTAAATTTCCCCAACGTTAATACATTTACTATAAAATACAATAAAATTACTAAGAATGTTATTAAAAATTTAATTTACTTTACTCATATTGTGAAACAAATGAAAGATACATAAATGAAGACATATAGAAATATGCATGTAAACTGTCAAAAGTAGTAAGTAGAATTTTTAAAAAGAAATATTAAATTTTGGGGAGAATGTTTACTCTGTGAAAGGAATTTATAACAACAGTATTAATATCATTCACAATAAATATTACACCCAAGGCATTTCACAATACACCTGAAAAGTTAAAAATTAAACAAGACTGAAAAGAGTTTTAACATAATTCTGCAGATACTTTTCTGTTAATAGGTGAAAGAGGTGCCATTTAGTCTCAAAACATACTTGACAGAGGTGCCACTTAGTGTTAAACATAAATGTTGGTACAAAATCTAACTAGATAACAAACTCTAACAATACATACAGCTTTGAAAAAAAAAATTAAATTATTTTATAAAATCCAGAATACATAAAAAAATAATTACACACAAAAAAAAATATAAAACAGACTTTTGACTTCATATTACACAGAATGCATAAAACTGCTGATTTTATTTAACACTCCTAGAAACATTTACATCTTTTCATACAATTGCTGCCACATGAATTCGATGAGGTAAGAAGCTAGATGTAGCAACCAATGCCCTACTGATATTTATTTTGCTATTTTGCATGACATCCCATATCAAGATCAAAAGTACTTTGCGATCCTTGCCGAATCTAAACAAGGAAATTTCTGCATTGGTCTTGAAGATAATAAAGCAACAAGAATCAAAGTAAACTACATAAATCTGCAGAATCTGCATAAATTTGCTGGACAGCTGAAGAAGAAGGTTTTATTTAACCTTTGAAACTAGATCTATAAACTTATGCAACTTATGCTAACACTTATTTCTTTATCTTCAACATTTGTTCTTCAGCGTGTTATATGAATTAATACTGCAATGATGTTAATTTTTTACACTTATTCACAAGGCCATCATTGCACAGCTACTTGTGACATGATTTGAATTGGCTTGCATTTTCAGTGCACCTTTTATGACTGCTGCCTCATTAACAGAAATTTATGTTTATTTTAACAAATAATTATGCAGTGTAATGAATTTAAAATTGTATTACCCATTCCTGAATGGAAAATACACTTCTAAAGAGAAGGGTAAGAGAATAATTAAGTTTCTAAAGAATAGAATGAACATCAAGTAAACATATTAGATATTTAGATTAAGAAAAAGCACACAAAGACCATCTGCCTAAAGGAAAGGATGCTTTCATGGAGAATTTTTTAAGGGAACTGGTTCATATTTACATTAGACATGAGGAAAACTATGTAAATTCCCATGCAGCCAGCCTGCTAACTGAGATTTGGACCTGAGACAAACTATCAGAGTTTAGCGATCTTACCACTTAGCTGCTGGTAGGCAAGAAACAAATAGAATTATGGGTACATAAAGTTGTTTTAGGTAAGATGAGAAAAATACTTTGGGGGGGGAGTAGATAACAACAACTCTTTATTTGCTTTCTTTTTTAAAACAGCCATTTTTATTTAAAATGTAAACTTTAGGCTATTTAAGAGGATTGATTTACACTTTTTTTAACTTCGCTGATTTTTTATAAATAGTTTAATTTTTCCTCACTATTTTCATCTTTTTTATTTTCCAGGATTTTTCCATATGAGTGAGAACCTTATGTTATGAAGAAATTTAGTAAGATCAATACTTAGCACTAATTCCAAGAGATTTAATATGCTAATTTTAACTATCAGATTTTGTATTCATAAATTATTCAAAGGATTCATGAGGAAGTTGAATAGTTAGATAAGTCTGTAAATTTTGACATGACTTTAGAAGGGGGGATTAGTATTTTAAAAAATAAATTTAAAAGATGCAGTGAAATGAAAACTGTCATAAACTTGTAGCATGTGGCAGTGATAATGTTTCTCCTAGCTCCCATGATGATGAATAGTTTAAAGATAATGATGGCTCAGCTTTTGAGATTTAGTTTTTTAATAGCATAATGCCTAAGAGAAGTCAATAATGAGTAAGGCATTCAATGGTAATTATACTTTTTAAATTTAATTGAAATATTCTTTATTTTCACATTTAAACATATTTCATGTGCATACTGTTCCAAGATTATAATACTTATTTCTTCATTGTAAAGTTATATTGATCACGTACAAGGTTGCTGCTCAAATAGAAGAATGAAACTCCCTGACTTTTACAGGTTTTGCAGGTGTGTTTTAAGAAAATTCCAGTTTATCTGTGTAGTGCATGTTGGCTGGGCTGAGGGGTAAATTAATTAGAAAGGTATTTAATGACATTTTAAAATAAATTCAGGTATTTTATATTTCTTTAGCAGCATACATAAGCAAAAAATATGTGCATTAAATTTTGTAATGGAATGTCATCATACTGCTAGAATTAGTTTCAGGAGTATGCCAGAGAAAATTACCTGAAACTTGAAAGTATTACTAACTAATAATAAATAAATTTAGGAAAAAGAAGCCACATTAAATGATATGAATAACATTAAAATAATTAGTAAATTACTAAAGTAAAAACTGAAAGATTAAAAACTGAATTGCAATATTCAACGATGTTTTAGTGAATATAATAATATTAAATGGGTTAAAATTAGATGACTAATCACTATTTTTTTTATTTCACTGCAAAATGACAATGATGGCACTTATTAAAAGGGAAAAAAAAAATTTAAGATTTTGTGGTAAAATCCTAGTTTATGCTACAGCTTAAGCCCGATTTTGAAAATTGTCACCCATACAAAAATGACCCGTGTACTGCTCATCATAAATGCATGGTTTAAGGCTTATCATAATGTCGCCAAATCCCACACATACATTATACTAGGATTCAACCAATATTGTTTTATATGAGAATGGGAGGGTATTTTCTAACGTTAAACATGCACTGCACATGCACAGGCGAGTCTCTCGATTCTCGAGGTTACTGAAAACCAAAGTTGCTGAAACTTGCTTTTGCCTTTCTAAAAAGGAATCTCATTGCAACTGCGAAAATTGGCCCTACATCAGATGCCCAAATACACTCCAGCAATACATAATTTGCCAAGAACGTAATTGCTTCCAATGTTGGCACAAAAATCTCATTTTGTTTTTGGATCGTCGTATGAAATTCCCTGACTTTTTTGGTCAATTTTCGAATTCTCCGACTTTCCCCATTTCTTCCGGTAGTGTGGCAACCCTGCATATATTACTCCTCAAAATGAAACTTTAAAAGTTTGAGTGCGTCTTTTATGGTAGTAAATATAATAAATAAATGTCCAACTACTTCATTGACTATTTTAATTTAATAAAAAATTAATAAAAAAATCTACACATAATTAACTAAAAAATATAGTACAGTCAAAAGTCTTTAATTCAGACGTCCATAATCCAGAATGATCTATAATCCGGACCTCAAAGCTACAAACTTTCTGTGCATGTGTAAACACATGCGCATAATACGAGGGCCATCCAGGAAGTAGATTACGTTTCCGTCTGTGTCCGCTAGGGGCGGGGCTAGCGCGGCCATCTTGGGGTCAGAGCGTTGCGCAGCTCAGTCTGCATCTAGCCGTGCTAGTGAGAGGTTCGTGCTGTGCTCTGTTCAGATACTGTGACGGTTTGAAATGTCTGCGTTAATTGAAAATCCCGCGAGCTGCGCTCAGTAATAAGGTTTCTGACTGCAAAAAACTGTAAACCGATAGAAATCTATCGGCAGCTTCGTGAGAAGTGTATGGGGACAACATTATCACTGAAGGTGGAGTGCGTCAGTGGGTCATAAGATTTCAAAATGGCCGAACCAATGTTCACGACGAAGATCGAAGTGGGAGACCCAGCATAGTGACCGCCGAACTTCTCGAAAAAGTCGATGCTAAAGTCCGTGAAAATCGAAATTTCACAATAACGGAACTTTCTTTGAGTTTCCCACAAATTTCGCGAAGTTTGTTGCACGAAATCATCAGCGAAAAGCTTGGTTACCACAAGTTTTGTGCAAGATGGATTCCAAAAATCTTGACAGAGGACCACAAAAATCAGCGAATGGCTGCAGCGTTGAACTTTTTGGACGCTTACCATAAGGATGGTGACTCTTTACTCGATCGCATCGTTACTGGTGACGAAACATGGGTGGGGTGAAACATGTGAACTGTGAAACGAAATTGCAATCAATGCAGTGGGGGCACACAAGTTCTCCCCAAAAACCCAAGAAATGCATGCAAACAATGTCGGCAAGGAAGATGATGGCGACTGTTTTTTGGGACAGAAAAGGTGTAATTTTCGTGGACTTCCTGGAAAGAGGCACTACAATAAACTCTCAAAGGTATTGCCAAACTCTCCAAAAACTCAGAAGAGCAATTCAAAACAAGCGCAGAGGAATGTTGAGCTCTAAGATCTTGTTGATTCACGACAACGCCCGGCCCCACACGGCAAATGTCACTCGTAAAGTTCTTGAATCTTTTAAGTGGGAGTTGTTTCCTCATCCGCCGTACAGTCCCGACCTGGCACCGAGTGACTTCCACCTATTCCCAGCAATGAAGAAGTGGCTGGTTATGCAGCGTTTTGATGACGACGCACAGCTGCAAGAAGAGGTAACGAAGTGGTTGAAGGCGCAGGCGGCCGAATTTTTCGACGAAGGAATTTCCAAGCTCGTACATCGCTACGATAAATGCCTTAATTTGTATGGTGACTATGTAGAAAAGTAGTATTTGAGTGTGGCTTTCATCTGTATATAATAAAATTTGTTTCCTATACTTTGTTTATTTTTTTATTCCAAAACGTAATCTACTTTCTGGATAGCCCTCGTACTTTTATGCATGCACATAATATGTTTACACATGCACGTTTAATGTATAACGGACGGCATAAGCTAAGCTAAAATTATCTAATTATCTATTTCCATTAATGTTGCAGATTGCGTTGTTCCTTAATCTTCTAATTGGATCTGGCTTATTATTCTTTGCAGACTGTTAGAGCAATTTTATAAAAGTAAGCCTGAACTTTCGATTCTGTCAAAAAGAATTTCCGATTCTGGAGCTGCCAAAGGATCTACAAAGCTAAAGCATGTTTCGATGTCCATCAAACAAAAAGTAGGATTGCTGCAAAAAATGGATAAAGGCATATCCTTTGTTTCTCTAACCATTCCAAAATCTGTTTATCAATTTCACGCTGCTGTGTGGGAGGGGGGGACGTCACGGCGCGCAATGAACTGGAAGTTGATCTGTCAGCACTATCCTTATCTTCAAGGCAGATGTTTTTATTTTATTCGGCTTATAATTCCTTACTAAATGTAATATTTCATCTCGATGTACTCTATCTTTGATATGATTTAAATCAAATTCCTCGTCACTATAAATATCACGAATACACATCAAATAGTTTTCTGGTTGCAATTTTCTAATTTCGACTATGCGTAATGTATGCCTTATGCATGCACGCATTGAAAGAAATGTTTAATAAAGTAAACAAATAAATATTAAGCTTTTTTTTGTAAATTTTGATACCCTTTAGATCATAATTGCTCTTTATTTCATAAATTACGATTTCATATTTTTAATTTTATAATTTCTGCATGCCATCTTACCAGATTTAAACTGATGATCTATAATGCGGAAAAACCGATAATTGAGAATAGCCGAAGTCCCGACGAGTCCGGATTAAAGACTTTGGTACTTTTCCGTTTTGCCGGCGCCAGCGATAAAGTCGCCAATAATGGTACAACCGATGCCAAAAGGAATATTCTCGCTGGTAACCTTTTACGCCTCATTTTCAAAACAAGTCGCAGCTTTTTCTTATCAGATTGATTGTTTCTTTGGCATATAATTACATAGAATTTTTATCAGATAGTTCAGTTTTATGTCTAAGGCTATTTTCGGTAATTAAGTCAATTAGGATGCAATCACAGCTCTTACCCGAAGCCGAAAATATAGAAAAGGAAAGTCATGGGTTAAATTCATCAATTCTAATGAGAATGCATTAGTGAATTAAAGCACTGCAGTTTTACATAATTTCTGAGTAAGCTATTCATACGCATTAAAATATTTCTTGCATTTAAACTTGTGTTCCAAATTAAGATTTAACTTGAAATTAATGTAGATAATTACTGAGAGCATTAGATTTTTGTAGAGTAGTTTATGTGAGATGAGATCGCTTGGGGTCACGTGATATGAACCGGCGAATTAGTATGTTGAACCATGAAAGCATAGTAAATTCTTGAATTAATGTCTTTTTACAAATTTATTGTCTTTATTTATTGGCTTTTTATAAAGTTTTAAGCGATATTAAAATGTTTATGCCTTCAAAAAATGAATTCTTAGAACTAAAATTATTTTAATATTTTTATGTGTATACTGTATGTTGTCGCCAATAAAGTCTGCTTGGCGAGATTTGCGCCGGCGAAACGGAAAAGTACCAAGACTTTTGACTGTATAATGAGAAAATGAAATACACACATTTTGTTTCAGACATTTATCAACTTAATTGAGACTTATCAGAATACAGACCAAGATGCAGAAAGAATTTTAATATTCAATAGACTGCAAATGTGGTGAAAGCAGACTTTTTATTTAAGTGGAAATTTTCTTTGAAAATATTAACAACAATATCAACTTAATATATTACATAGGTAAAAAAACATTTTATTTACTCTATACTCTTCTTGTAATATGTTTTTTTGAGTGTTAAAAATTATCTTTCATGTTTTGTGAATTTTACTCAAAAATATATATCTTATAAAGTAGGTTCTATATTACTTAAATATATGACAGTAATGGCATCTACAGTAGTTTTATTGTTAAATGAAACTGCAATAATGTGCAAAATATGAGCTCTGAGTATGAAGTGAAGCTCCAAGTATGAAGAATGTTTTGCTCAGAAAAAATTCACATTTTCAATCAGGTATTAATTCACCTGAAATACTTATGATGTGCAGCATTCATTATTTCATGCTGACTTCTAACATTTTGGCATCAAATATAAAAAAATCTGCAGAAAATATTCAAATATTTTTAAATAGATTAACCATAGCTACTGAATTCTGACATTTCTTTAAAATAACAAGTAAAATACAAAAATGCCAAACTATCTTAAAGATTAGAGAAACGGAAAGGCGACATACCTGTGTAATACGCTTTGAGCACAAGGGATAACCACACATATGTTCAATGCTCCTTTCTTGTATGACATCATCATAATCATTTTGGCATAATTTTGTACACTAAAATTATTTAAAACATACTCTTTAAAATAAACTCATTTTATAACATTTTAAATTACATTTGATAGTTATGCATTAACAAATACATTTGATTCCCATAGGCAGTATCTTGTAAACTATTCCATCCTAGTGTTAGTCTTAGAAATAACTTTTCAATAAAAATCTGACTAGCTTTTGAAAACCATTTGTGTTTAAAGTTTAAATACAAATTAATTACATCATTATCATCTAGTGTATAATACTTGCCAATTTGTATATTATAATATCCACTCACAGAAAATGTTACAAACTTACACAGCAAGTTTGCATATCATATTGTTGTATGTATTGAAATCTTTTTTAATTGCAGCATTGTGATATTGTGTGCTGTTTTACTTATTCATCTGCTTATCAATTTTATGGTAATAATGATAAAAAAACGTTTATTTTGTCTTTAATGAAATTTTTGATCAGATGTTTTGTACATAAGTATTTATTTCTTATATAGAATCACATATATCTCAGGTCAGGTCAACCACATTTAAATTGCAAAAATAGACGAAGTAAAACACAATATATGGGCAAATATGCTCCTGATGAACCTTAGCACCAATTTTTGCCACGAAGTTGCTAATTTTTTTGAAGGGCTTATTTCTGTGTTTAATGTCAGTTAGTACGTATGTTGCTTATTTTGGGCTTTACACCTTAAAATGTCTGCCAATGATATTATTAACCTCAAGTTTCTGTACAATTTGGAATGAAAACATTGATTGACTGGTGTGTAAATAAAGGTTTAAAGGACTTTGGTTGACCTCTAAGTAAATTACACAGTGATATGTAAGGATTTGGAAACTGGAGCTCATATGAACACTATCAAAGGCATAGGGGGTGTATTAAAAAGGGATTTTTGAAAGAAATGCTATAGACAGACCGGCACTACAGAGGACATTTTTTATTCCTCCTTTTGTGAATTTATATGATGAAGGCAGCATACAGATTCTAGTTCAGATAATTTTGAATAGTTTTTGGATGCTGTTGAGACATTCTCTGTACCACACACTGAAGACAGAAATTTCTAATTGAGGTAATTTCCTTTTTGTACTGCACAGATTAGATAACATGAACAGTCAAAAGTGTCCGGACTTGTCGGGACTTCGGCGATTCTGATTATTGGCTTTTTTGGATTATAGATCATCAGTTTAAATCTGGTAAGATGTCATTCAGAAATTATAAAATTAAAAATATGAAACCATAATTTATGAAATAAAGAGCAATTATGATCTAAAGGGTATCAAAATTTACAAAAATAAACTTAATATTCATTTGTTTACTTTATTAAACATTTCTTTCAACACGCGCATGCGTAAAGCATACATTACGCATAGTCGAAATTAGAAAATTGCAACCAGAAAACTATTTGATGTGTATTCGTGATATTTATAATGACGAGGAATTTGATTTAAACCATATCAAAGATAGAGAACATCGAGATGAAATACTACATTTAGTAAGGAATTATAAGCCGAATAAAATAAAAACATCTGCCCTGAAGATAAGGATAGTGCTGACAGATCAACTTCCACTTCATTGCGTGCTGCAACGTCCCCCTCCCCCACAGAGCAGCGTGAAATTTATAAACAGATTTTGGAATGGTTAGAGAAACAAAGGATATGCCTTTATCCATTTTTTGCAGCAATTCCACTTTTTGTTTGATGGACATCAAAACATGCTTCTGCTTTGTAGATCCTTTGGCAGCTCCAGAATCGGAAATTCTTTTTGACATAATCAAAAGTTCAAGCTTACTTTTATCAAATTGCTCTAACAGTCTGCAAAAAATAATATGCCGGATCCAATTAGAAGATTAAGGAGCAACGCAATCTGCAACATTAACTGAAATAGATAATTAGATAATTTTAGCTTAGCTTATACTGTCCGTTATACATTAAACGCGCATGCGTAAATGTATTATGCGTATGCGCAGAAAGTTTGTAGTTTTGAGGTCTGGATTATAGATCATTCCGGATTATGGACGTCCAGATTAAAGACTTTTGACTGTATTTCTATTTTTATGTTAGCTCATTGTTTTATATTGATTCTAAAATGCAGTTTATTGAGATGTTTTATTGCACTATGTTTTAGATGCCATTTTACTTGGGAGGGCGCTGCACATAAACAGGAAAGGCACCAAAAATATAGCCAAAAGTGCATCCTGAAATATACGTTTCCCCTGTTTTTTAATGTTATTAGTTCATTTTAAAACTGCATACTGGTGTGCATACGGTGAAAACAGAGTCCCTGTTTGACTCCTAATTCACTCGTTTGCGTCATGGCAGAAAGGTACCAACTAGGATTTTTCCATGATTTGCAACAAACAAGGAAAATTTCTTTTACTTTGCCATTTATACATAGCGCAAGATTTAAAAAAATATAATTTTCAAAAACAGTTTTTGCCATAAGGCCATAAAGAAAATCATAGTTACAAATTTGCTACAAAACACAGATAAGAAAATATATAGAATATAAATTTAGATATATACTTACATTAGCTAACCATTCTTTAGATACATCTTCTTCAAGCAATGCTTCAACAATTTTTAAAATGCTGCGTTTTATTTTTAAAACTTTCTCTCTTGCAGACAATCTATTAACAAAAATTAAACTTAATTACAAATCTGCAACTAATTACAATTAATTTCATCAAAATTAAAAAATATAATTATTTTATTTTGTATAGCATAAAGAATGATCTAATCTAAAATGACTCGCACTATTTACAAGTTTGTGCTATATTTAGAACAATTCACATTTGTTTTCAGACACTTGTATTTTTGAAATTTATTTGCATAGGACTTGTACTAAATATTGAAACACAGACTCTAAATTTTTTCCAAATACATTATTTTTTCTCTATTTTTAAGTCTCACATATTACAAAATAAATATCATCAAAATATTTCTTGCAATAAAATATATTATTTCAAAAGTATTAATCAAGAATTCACATAATTTGGACACTCGAAATTTTTGTTGAGATGTTTGATGTTTGAATGATGTTTTTAATCATAATTTTTTATTTTAAATGAAAATACATTTTAAAAATTATCATCTGCATTTAGAAATTATTGCTTGTTTAGCAAAATATATTAATAATTCCCTATCTGAAGTGAAGATGTCAAGATGCTATAATTAACAAGTTCCGCTGAAAATTCATATAGTTAACATTTTAAAAATAGTTAAAATATTCAAAATATCTAAAAAAATCCTTGATATAAGTGTTCAACTATCTTTGATGTATTAAAATGAAGGTAACTGTGTGGAACTGTTCAAAATGCATTGAAGTTTGGACTGCATTCCAAGCTAAGATGAAGGAATTGAGATTTAGCCTATGAAAATCAAACAAAACAAAAAGCTTAGCACTGTAAAACTTTATGAGGATTTATAAATATGGTTTGCAATTAAAATTAACTGCAAAATCGTTTGAAAAACTAGGGAATTTCTTTGTCAACAAGAAAACAATGAAAACATACATGGTGTTTGCAAAAACGATGCAAAGCAAAGATTTATCATATTGAAATATTATATTGACCCTACAAGCCAAAATTTATTATATTTGGGGCCCACCAGCGGCCGAGCAGTAACGTCGCTGAACACTGGTAGTTCAGTCCGAGGTTCGAATCCCACGAACGGGCTGGTAGCATGGGTGTTTTTGTGGTTTTCCTCATGTGTAATGTGTATATGAGCCAGTTTCCCTTAAAAAGTCCTCCATGAAGGCATCCCTCACTTAAGGCAGATAGCCCTTGAGTGCTTTGCCATAATCTAATAAACCAAATCAACCATATATTTGGCTAAAATGGAAGAACTGTTGCAAGACTAAAGCCAAATGAATAATTGAATGTGAAGAACCTATTGCCTACTCTTAAGCATGAAAGTGGGAGATTAATGGTTTGAGTATGTTTCTCTGCCTCTGGGATGGGAAATTTACTTTTAATACAAAATAATATGGATCAGTATTAATATATTAAAATTCTTAATGGAAATCTGAATACATCTGCAAGAAGCCTTGAAATGTACAACACATTTAAGTTTAATCAGGATAATAGTGCTAAACATATAGCCCTGAATGCTTGTAACAATTTATACGGTAAAAGCGCAGAATAGGCTGCATCAACAAAGTTCAGTAGGAGGAGCTGTGTGACGTCCATAAATGGGTGGGACTAAGCTTATGACGTCACAATGCAGTCTCGCATTTACACTACGCGTACTTTCTACTATTTTCTCTTAAAAAATAACATAATAAATTGTTTATCGTGAAGTTAATATCAAATTCTTTACTTTTAATTTACATTTATAACATTTAAGCATAGGCGTTACTGATAATAAGTATAATAAATTGTTTATATTTAAATTACCATGAACGTGAGGCGAATTCTACCAATTATTAAACGATAAACCACGTCGGAGTCTCTAATACTTGTAGAGCTTCAATATTTTCAAAGATTTTTATTAAAAATTATGATTATTTTATTTTTATTAATTTTTTTATTTATACAAATAAAATATTCTTTTAAATTTAAATTCATATTGTGGAACATTTCAATTTTATCATTTTTACAAATTACCTTCTTGCTACGTAACGACATAATTCCTTACATACCAATAATTAGACAATTTTCATTATTTCTAAAAATTTTAAACTTTACATTAATAAAAAAAGAAGATATTTTTTATTGCATATGAACATCATTACCGGATTTCATATCAGTTTCTAAAATTCCTAAATCACGCTATATCTGTGTAGGCATGCTAGATTCTAGAATTCTACGCATTAATAAATAAAAAAAATCTAATTTCTCAGAATGAAAGAAAATAATATAATAAAATAAATACTACAAACTTGGAACACTAAGCATGCTTCACATACGCACACACACACATATTATCAATGAACTCCTATTATCAAGTGCAATTACGATACCAAACACTACGTATTAAAATATGAGGTAAACGTTACGTCAAGAGTTACTAAAAATTTTAAACTTTACATTAATAAAAAAAGAAGAATATTTTTTATTGCATATGAACATCATTACACAGATTTCATATCAGTTTCTAAAATTCCTAAATCACGCCATATTCCTGTGTAGGCATGCTAGAATTCTACGCATTAATAAATAAAAAAATCTAATTTCTCAGAATGAAAGAAAATATATAATAAAATAAATACTACAAACTTGGAACCACTAAGCAATGGCTTCACATACGCACACACACACATATTGAATACAATGAATATATATACAATGAACTCGTATTATCAAGTGCAATTACGATACCAAACACTACGCATTAAAATAGGAAGTAAACGTTACTTCAAGAGTTAAAGTTAACAAGTTTACTACTGTTGAGTAGATCGTCGGGTTATCGATATATGTCGCAAGTCGGAAAGCGTTATAAACATATCAAAGCCAAAAAATTAAAAATACAATTTAAATGAAAAATGACGTCTTAAATATAATTCACAATAAAACAACAATACAAATTTAAAATACACTAATGATATGTTAAACATTGCACATAAATAAAGTTACATTACTGCTCGGCATCACACAACCCCTCGTTTTCTCTTCTTCACAACGATCAGTATTCGCTCGAAAAACATCAAAGAATTCCACAAACTCGGTGTCCATGGGCTCATCATCCATCTATTTCACTTAAAGAAAAATCAGAGAATTGCTCAAACTCGGCATTGCGCACCATATTGACTTTGACCATGTGCACATCGATCTATTTTTCACTTAAAAAAAACATCCCAGAGTTTCACAAACTCGGCATCGCGCACAACCTCGGCATTGCGACTGTGCACATCGATCTATTTTCAACTTAAAAACATTGCCAGAATTGCCAAACTCGGCATTGCGCACCACATTGGCTTTGCCCATGTACACATCGATCTATTTTCACTTAAAAAAATCCCAGAATTGTACAACCTCGGCATTACGCAACACATTGGCTTTGGCCATGTGCACATCGATCTATTTTCACTTAAAAAAAAATCCAAGAATTGTACAAAGTCGGCATCGTGCACAGCTTGGTTTTGGCCATGTGCACATCGAGCTATTTTCACTTAATAAAAATCCCAGAATTGCACAAACTCGGCATTGCCGGCCACATTGGCTTTGCCCATGTGCACATCGATCTATTTTCACTTAAAAAAACATCCCAGAATTGCACAAACTCGGCATTGCGCACCACATTGGCTTGCCCATGTGCACATCGATCTATTTTCACTTAAAAAACATATTTTCACTTAAATCCCAGAACTGCACAAACTCGGCATCGCGCACAACCTCGGCATTGCGCACCACATTGACTTGGCCCATGTACACATCGATCTTTTTTCACTTGAAAACATCCCAGAGTTGCATAAACTCGGCATCGCACATAACCTCGGCATTGTGCACCATATTGGCTTGCCCATGTGCACATCGATCTATTTGCACTTCAAAAAACATCCCAGAATTGCACAAACTCGGCATCGCGCACAACCTCGGCATTGCGCACCACATTGGCTTTGCCCATGTACACATCGATCTATTTTCACTTAAAAGTCCCAGAATTGCACAAACTCGGCATTGCGCACCACACTGGCTTTGCCCATGTGCACATCGATCTATTTTCACTTTAAAAAAAAATCCCAGAATTGCACAAACTCGGCATCGCGCACAGCATTGGCTTTGCCCATGTGCACATCGATCAATTTTCACTGAAAACATCTCAGAGTTGCACAAACTCGGCACTGCGCACCACTCAAAATCGTCTATACGTCTCAAAACCGTCTCTCTACTAGTTTCATATTTGTTCCACAAATTGGGTACTTATACGATATTGCAATCAAACTTTTCTCCATATACACGCTCAATAACGCTCTTTTTGCTTCTTCTCCAACTGATTAAAAAAGTCCAGATTCAGATACTCATCCATTCTGCAGTAAGCACCGATGTTAAACACACTCATCAATAATCAAAACATTCTTTAAGCAAAATAATTCTTTTCTGTATTTTCAGAAGTTACGTTATAATTTTTAATTCATGCATTCAATATTTTCAGTCGTTTGCTAATGATCGTTTTCAATCGTTTGGTATCTTAATAATACATTTGTGAGAGATAATTCGTTGCTTTAAATGCTAACACTAACCACACAAACACATAAAAGTAGATTTATAATTAAAAAAATCTCGCACAGAACATTATAAACCTACCATTTCAACTCAGTTAAAATATAATTTTTCTTTAAATACGAAGCTATAGCATACTTATAACTTGTTTTTAAGAAGAGGCGTAACCAATATTACGTCATAAAAAGGCGTGTCCAAGCATAAGAGAAGTAAACACAGCATCGACTGATGCAGCCTATTCTGCGATTTAGCCTTATAACTGTATTGGAGTTATGTATGGAGAGGGTTAAAGAAAAGAACAAGTAAACATAACACTTCTATAAACATTCTATTATAAGCAATTCATACAGAAAAATGGAACATTTTTAATAGCAAAGTGAATGAAAAATATAGTTTTAATTAAGGGATAGCAAATAAAGTATTGCATGTCCCATTATTTTCATTCTTTTATCAAATACAGACTGTTTGTTGAGTCTCATAAGTATGATTAGTCTATATTTTGGGGTACCCCTTCGATTATCACCAAGCTGTTGTTTCATTTATCGTCAAGTTGTGGTTTCATGTAAGGTAACCTCAGTATTTTATGCTGTATGTTTGGAAACTCTATCCTCATGTGATTCGTTGTAATGCACCATCGTAGTGAGTTTGATTTCTCCGGTTTTACTTCTGCATTGGATGTTGCGTAGGAAGTACATTGCTTATTTTGTGCTGCACACCATAAAATGGCTGCTTGTGATAAGATTAATCTGAAGTTTCAGAACGATTTGGAATGAATGGAGAAAAAAAGCATTAACTGACTGGTGTGTAAGTGAAGATTTACTCAGTAATCATTATAAGTGTCCTGTTTGTACAAAGGAAATGCATATGGCCAAACATAAAGATCGTTCAAATGGCTTAGGGTGAAGTGCAGAATTGCCCACTTACTTGGCATGTTATGTTTGGCACTTTTTACAAGAGTCAGAAGAATTGGATTTTTGTCAATTTCCTTTGACTTTTTGAGTGAAAATACCCAATGTGTACATGGACAAAGTCAAGGGAGTGTGCAGTGCTGAATTTGTGCAATTCTCTAATGTTTTTTTAAGTGAAAATAGGTTGATGTGTACATGGATACCGAGTTTGTGCAATTCTTAAAAATGCACCAAGAAGTGGGAGATTCTTCACTTTTCCCCAGATTGCTTTGAATAGCTTTGCTGCAGCAGAGGTTAAAATGCTCAGTATACAATGTGATCCATTTGAAAGGGATTATGGTTTGAGGAGAGTCATTCGAGTATTTATGAGATTTTGATTTTTACATGAGGCTCTAGCACAGAATTGGGTGCCCCTTCGATTAGCGACGAATTTTGTTCAATTTTGGCGATGAAACCCCAATTCTGGTTACCATGATAGTTTTAATTTTGTTTTAGAATTAAAACTTGTGAAAACTTTTTGTCAGTGAAAACAGATCGGTGTGTACATGGACAAAGTTAAGCCAGTGCGCAATGCCTAGTTTGTGCAATTCTCTAATTTTTTTAAGTGAAAATGGATCGATGTGCACAGGGTCACCGAGTTTGTGCAATTCTCTAATTTTTTCAAGTGAAAATGGATCGATGTGCACAGGGTCACCGAGTTTGTGCAATTCTTTGGCTTCTTATTTTGGTTTTGTGTAGCCGACCATCTTGGAATTGTGCCTTCCTGGCACCGATCTCGAAGTCAAAAAAGAATTACAAAAAAAAAAAAAAGTACCCGGTTGTAAAGTTTACCAATAATACTCCAAACAGAGAAAAATTATCATATTTTTTATTTCTGATAAATATGTCCTCAATGTCCTCTAGAGTTTTCCATATGTCGTAAAGTGAAATACTATTATGTAATAAAAAGCTATCTAGTAACTGAAGTTTTAGAACAAAAATTATATATATTATGTTACAAAAATAGCATCAGTATAATAACTTACATTTGCTTCTGTCGAGCTGAATCGCATTTTTCATTAGGTTTAATTGATTTTCCATTCGTAACAGGTGCCATAATTTCACTAAATTTGCACCATATTTCACGCACTCAACAATAAGGAATTCGTTGTTGACAGGTTATCTTCATGAGAAAAAAGGGGGAAAAAATGGGAGGAGTTACGAGATTCTCTGGGTTGCATGAAGATCTACTAATAACTTTCTCGCCAAGTAATTTGGCGTCATTGGCTCATTCTTATTTCTGGAACTGTGGCTTGAAGAGTGGCGTGTTTTTGATCCGTAAGTATGCTAAAATTCTATCCCATAAATTTTTAATATTTTTAATACGTTTTTCCAAATTTACACATTTTGCCTTGATTAATTTGAAGTTGTTTGTTTTAGATGTGCGCAATAGCAAATTGGCAAATTTCAGGTTTATTCGTCAAATAACCAAGTTTTTTCTATTTCTCTGGTAAGTGTTTGCTTTATATCTTATATTTATTATTAAATATGAAAAGTAATTTTTGCATGCGTATATTTTTTCATGCTCATTTTCTGTTTTATGTGCTGGTAGATTTCTGGCCGATTACCGTGTTTTTAGATAAATGCGCCATTTTCATTTAGGTCGTGTAGAGATTACTGTTTCCATTTTTTTAAGTAACCACGAAAATTTCTTAACACATGTAAAAGCTTTACTAGTAAACTTTTGATTGAGGATATTTCAAGTAAATGTGCCATTTTTACTGAATTTGTGTAGAAGTTGCTCTTCGTTATGCCTTTTTTGAGCCAATATGTTAATTAGTTGTATTATTTTAATGTGTTGTTTTGCAGATTAGTGCAGTTTATTTGACAGATGTGTAATGCTGTTTGTTGAAAAATGCATTAGAACCAATGATGGTAAGAGCTTGGGGGGATGTTTCCATAACCGGCACTTGGCAAAATTGCGGATTTGTTTACATCGGAAGTGAGCGTACGTGCGCCAGAATATGGTAACCCTGATAATTGTTGCAACCCACACAGGGAATTTTCCTGAAGGAGGAAAAGGGAATTTTCTGTTTACTTTTCGAACATTACGGTAACAGAAAATAAAGTTTGAAAGTCGCAAATATTATTAGTTCATATTTTCGCAAAACGTTTATGGGGTTTATTTTTTCGAACATTACGGTAAAAGAAAATAAGTTTTTTTATATTTTCGCAAAACGTTTATGGAGTTTGGGGAGTTAAAAAAAATGCAGCAAATTATTATATATTAACATAACAAATGTTCCTTTTTTAGGTATTATATATGTTATAATATTGCTATTGCCATGAAGACAACTGGGCAAAGTTAAATGATACCAACAACAACAGCATTTAATTTATTATAGCTTTTTTCTTACTGTTACTAGAATTCTAATGATAAAATGATTAGTGCATTTAAAACATATTAAATGAAAATATTAAAATAGATATGGAGATGCATTAAATATGATTTGGACTAATTTAATTATGATTATTCTTACATATATAGCTATGCACATTTAATTTTTCTCAATAAAAATAATTAAGCTATCCTTATTATTTTTATATGTCTATACATTTTTAACTCTGCACATAGCTACTTAGAAAGAAAGATATATGGGGTAGGATATAAGAAGATAAAAATTATTAATCTTCCCTTAGAGTCAAATGGATATAGCTGTAGTATATGATTTCAAAAAAAGTAAATCATTAGAATATTAAGCTGAAAAAAGTCTGAAAGAAAGAGATTTTTCTTAAATTCAAACTGGGCACAAAAATTTCAGATGCTTCAACTTTGAACTGGAACATGTTAATTTACTGTTGTGGAACTAATGAAAACAATATTTTGAAGTATAGTAGTGTACCACCAAAGAATTTATGCTGGGAGAAGAAGCAACTTCGATGACACCACAAAGCAAATGATAACTGGCTAATTTTACTCTTTTTATGCTAAAATGTCGTAGTTGTTAGTATCTCTTAAAATGTATTTTCTATATATAATGATTTGCAAATGATGGAATTTACTTGTCATTAAAACATTTTGTTCTAAACATGCTTCAGCTTATCAAGAAGTTAAAGCTATTCCAACCTTCCCCCTATTAAAGTTTTTTGATTAAATCAGGTTCATGTCTAATGCACAAATATAAATAAACTTTCTTTAGTATTGTCAAACATCATTCTCATGGCCTTAATTGGATGTAAGATTTATTTCACAAAGTTATGTTTTCACTTATGGGGCAAAACTTTTAAATTTGTTATTTGAATCTGTTACATAGTCTTTATTTTAAAGAATATATTGTATGTCATATGGCCATGAAGGCAACTGGTTAAAGAGAAATGAAATCAACTTTCTAATTAATGTGATTGAAGCCATTGTGTTATACTCGAGGAAATATGTATATGGTAAATTGTGTGCTCATGTTTTTCTGGAAAGGGCATAACATTTTTTTACAGAAATAAGTTACCCAACCTAAATCTATTGCATGGCAATTAAATTTTCTGAAAGAGCAGGATTATTTATAAGCCAGTGCTAAACCTTGTATTGTACCCGATCAGAAATTTTAAATGGTGATTTAATTTCTTTTTTCAGGTTGAACTGCCCTTCAATGAAAGCTTTTGCTCGATGTGTGGCCTGTAATAGCATAAGGGACTTTTGTGAACTGAAATCTGTTAGGCTTTCCAAAATCCAGAAAGGTACAGTTTAAATTTTTATTAAGCCAATGTTCTTAAAATATATTAGAATATCCATAGGTGACATTTGATTATTGTTTAATAAAGAACCATAACAAAATAAGCTGATTGAATCACCAAATTGTAACTTGTAAATTTATCCATACTGTCTGCTTTAATAAGGAAGTAACATACAGTGATATATAGTAGTGTTTTGATTTTCATTATCATTTTATTCTGTTTAGTATGAGTTCAGCATGCTCCAATAAGGTATTCCAATTATATGAGCTTTAAGTTGTAACAGTCCTTATTTTATTTTGCGTATTTATACGTGTTGTTTTGAAATTGTCAATAATTCATAAATGCTGATGAACAAAACATTACTATGCCTATATATAAGAATAGCTTTAATGAAATAAGAAGCATCAAGTATATGCTAATTGCCATAAACTCCATACCCTTCTTCAAAACAGTACTTCAGTTATAACGTGTAACGACGCTGCAGTTGTTCAACATTTTTATACACTGTGCTGTTACTTTCATACTTTGGTTCATGAAAGTAATGGAATTTGATATTCTATATTTCTTCTTTTTTCCCCACATTATAATTATGAATCGAGTTATCAGAAAAGAATAATTTTTATGAAACCATTAGCATCCAGAATAACTCCATTTCTTGCACCTGTACTTTTTGTTTCCAATGGTGGATGCTTGCCTATGCCGGCATTTTGGCCACTCCTAAAATCAGATATGGTGATCTATTATGGAGGCACCTAATAGGCAGGCCACCTTTGCCTCCTATGAAGGGACAGATAATTTACACATCCATGCCTTGTTCGTTATTCGAACCCGGGTCCCTCAGTATTGTACTCAGGCTTCCCTAATACTATAACCATCCGGGCAGCTACGACTTATTTTAATATGCTATTTTTGTATTGATATGTAATATGAAATAATTTTTATTATGTATTTTTTTTAAAACAAGGCTTTTTAGTCATTGGTTCTATTTAACTAATTCACATGTATTGTTTTATATGCAAAATAATAAAACCCAGACTGATGGAATCTGACTTCAGAGCTTTTGCTCGTCGCATCTGTCACATAGCTTCAGAGCTGTAACTGTGTTATATTTAATTTTTAGTACTTAATATTAATTTGTTAAAGTTCAAAAGTAATAAAGCTGAAGAATGTCAATGTGAATATTTCTTAACAATAATGTGCAGTAGTCCCTCTTTAAAAATGATTTTGATTATCTGCAGACACATAAAAAATTGAGAAAGTTATGAAAATTAGATTATTTGTTGAATTCAAATTGGCCAAATGATAAGATATACAGTCAAAAAGTCGTTAATTCGGACACCCAAATTCGGAATGATCTATAATCCGGACCTCAAAGCTACAAACTTTCTGCGCATGCGTTGCGTTCACACATGCGCACAGGCATTTAAAGAGTGCGCGTAAGACCTTTACGGCTGCGAATATGTTTGTGCACATGCGCGTTTAATGCGTAACGGAGGGTATAAGCTAAGCTAAAATATCTGATTCAGTTAATGTTGCACATTGCGTTGCTCCTTAATCTTTGAATTGGATCCTGCTTATTATTTTTTGCAGACTTTTAGAACAATTTCATAAAAGTAAGCTTGAACTTTCGATTATGTCAAATAGAATTTCCGATATATATTACTATGTAATTTATATCTACAAAGCGAAAGTATGTTCTGAAATTCGAAATCTGTTTATCAATTTCACGCCGCGGATTGGAAGTTGATCTGTCAGCACTATC